AGCCGATGTTAGCCGAGTCCCAGCATACTGGTCACTATGCAACGCGAGTCAACAGCGGTAACATAACACGGGATGCCACGGTTGCTACACAGCAGGAAACAACTCCGACAGCGTTGATAGCAACACGGCGCCAAACAACAGTGGTGCCTATTACGTGGCTGTTTTCTGTGTTGTCCAGAATGAGGCTAATTAAGGGGCAGTGAAGACTATTCACAGTCAGTTCCGAGTTAGCCAGCAGTTAGTTCTCGAGTTCTCTAGTTACAAGTCAGTCACCAGTTAATTGTATTCTGGCGTAATTGCAGTACAGTATTTGTGATACTGCCAATGGCAGTAATGTTGAGCTTGTAAATTGTGTGATTGTAAGAGCGAATGTGAAATAAAATTTGCTATATTCAATAAGGCGTGTAGTTATTTGTCGCGTTATACACTCAACATGTGACAGTATGTTTTAAATGCACTTACCTGCTCTAGTTATTAATGACTGTAAACACTAAATATATGAAATGAAATCTAAAAACAAACTCTTTATGTTAACTTAATGTTCGGTTGCTCACCACGTGTAATTATGCTGCAATTCATCACAGTCTTGCTTACTTTGTTACATCGACTGTAATGATTTGTACCACCATGACATATGACTTGGTTGCTAGAGCCTTGTTTATGGTAACAGGGTTTACCATGTAACAGTGAAGTTAGCATAAAAGTAGAAGTTGCATCCTCATACTTGGTATTCCAGGATGTATCCTGTATAATCTTTCTGTAATTTCGGGCATATATCCTGACCGATTGAAATATGCAAATACAGGGTGGGGCGCAGAAACTTCCTTTCTTTGAAGGCGAATGAAAGAAAAATTATTGCTGATAGACAAAATTTATGTTTAGCTAATGAAAGAACATACTTTAAAGTTTTAAATTGTGTAGTTTTAAACAAAATATCTTGAAGGTGGTGGCCACCATTCTCTATGCACTGACGCAACCGTTTTCTGAAGTTCCCCTCTGCATGTTTCAACATATGCACTGGAATTTGGGCTACTTCCTGCCGAATAACATTCTTCAGCTGAAGCAGGTTTGTGGGGCGATGTTTAAAAACCTCTGCCTTGAGGTATCCCCATAAAAAAATCATAGGGAGTTAGATCAGGTGAGTGCACTGCCCATGGGATGTCACCTCAAAGCGAGATGAGCCGTCCGGGGAACTTTGCCCTCAAACCTGTCATCGAAGCTGGGGCTGTGTGGGCTGTGGCACCATCCTGTTGGAACCAGACATTTCCTAGATGCATTTCTTCAAGAGCTGGTTCGAAAAAGTTTTTAATCATGTCCACATACCGCTGTGAATTGACAGTAACTGCATGATTGTCTTCTTCAAAAAAATAAGGGCCAATAACTCCAACTCTTGACAGTGCACACCATACTGTCACCGTATCACTGTGAAGTGGCCTCTCATGGAGCTCTCTGGGATTGTTACCACTCCAGTAGCGCATATTCTGCTTGCTAGGTGAAAATGTGCCTCATCACTAAAGAAAACAAGTGCGTCAGGGGTAAAGTTTCCAATAACGTTTCGCACGCTGTTGTTCGGTTCTGGAAATCACGTGGTGACAATTCTTGCACAACAACCATCTTGTAGGGATGGAAATGAAGTGTTTCTGAAGAATTCAGCTCATTGAACGATTGGATATGTCTAGGGTGACTGCATGTTTGTGAGCAGAGTGTCTTGGAGATCTCAAAATTCACTGTTGAACTGCCTCCACATTTTCTGACATTGTAATGGTCCGTTGTCGTCCTGATGATTTTTTCACCACACTCCCGGTTGTCCTAAAGTTCTCTACCCACAAAACAATCGACCATATTTATGCATGTATAGGCCGCAGCACAATTTTCAGACAGAAATTTTAGAAAAAATAATTTTCTTGGAATATTATTTCAGGAGTATTACACCCTGTATTAGTAATTATGAATATAATTTTTTTTAAATGAAGTGTGATTTCGAATATTTCGAATATAAGCCGCACCCCAGTTTTCCTCTTGAATTTTTGGCAAAAAATGTGCGGCCTATACATGCGTAAATACGGTATTTCTGGTCGGGAATCGACCTCTGGGCTTAATTCCGAAGTGAGTACGGAACGCACGAAAAATAGGCTTCAACAGCAAACGCACCCTGGTCACTTGTCCACCTCATGTTTTCTACTGAGGGGTATTAGACAGAAACTTCCGTGACTGCTGCGTTCACCGAGCCTATCCCCACTTTTCTGCGACCTCCCCTCCTTTCACAATGCGTCTTCACAAAAAGGAAGTTTCTGCTCCCCACCCTGTNTGTTTCTGAAGAATTCAGCTCATTGAACGATTGGATATGTCTAGGGTGACTGCATGTTTGTGAGCAGAGTGTCTTGGAGATCTCAAAATTCACTGTTGAACTGCCTCCACATTTTCTGACATTGTAATGGTCCGTTGTCGTCCTGATGATTTTTTCACCACACTCCCGGTTGTCCTAAAGTTCTCTACCCACAAAACAATCTACCATATTTATGCATGTATAGGCCGCAGCACAATTTTCAGACAGAAATTTTAGAAAAAATAATTTTCTTGGAATATTATTTCAGGAGTATTACACCCTGTATTAGTAATTATGAATATAATTTTTTTTAAATGAAGTGTGATTTCGAATATTTCGAATATAAGCCGCACCCCAGTTTTCCTCTTGAATTTTTGGCAAAAAATGTGCGGCCTATACATGCGTAAATACGGTATTTCTGGTCGGGAATCGACCTCTGGGC